AAACATCAAGCAGATTAAAGAAAGAGTGATAAGTATAGTCAGTAAAGACTGAGAGATCTGAAAAAGGAGCAAGCCACTGGGCTCTGTGGGAACTATGAGTACTAACGACCCCAGGAAGAGGAAGCAGCAATACAAAGGCCTTCCCTGTCCCTGGGAGGAGGTCATCTGCAGCACTGGGCAGCAAGCGCAGGAGGGGGAGTTGGAGGGAAGGGAGCATGTGTGCAGGAGGGATGACAGTTGGCCCAGACCATGTAAGTCCTTATAGGTGAGAGTAAGAATTTTGAATTTTAACTTAAACATGATATGGAACCATTGGAGGCTTTGGAGCAGGGGTTTGAGCTGACTTAATGTTATGTTTTATTTATTTTATTTCACTAATTATTTTTGTTTTGGCTGGGGCCGGGCTTGAACCTGCCGCCCCTGGTATATGGGGCCAGTGCCCTTCTCCTTGAGCCAGAGGCGCCGCCCTGACTTAATGTTTTTAAAGGGTCATTCTTACTGCTTTGTGGATAATGAAGTATGAGGGGAGGGGTAGCCATGGTGGACCTGCTGTAGGCTACAGCAGTAACCAGCTGAGCATGATGTGGCTTGGAGTAGCATGAAAGGTAGTCGGATTCCAGAGGCAATTTAAGGATGAAGCTAACAGATTGCATGTGTGGTCTGAGGAGGAGAGAGAGAGAGATAAATCAAGATTGTTTGTGGGCTCGGTGCCTGTAGTACAGTGGTCACAGTGCCAGCCACATACATAGAGGCTGGTAAGTTTGAACCCAGCCTGAGCCAGCTAAACAATGACAATTGCAACAAAAAATAGCTGGGCGTTGTGTCCGGCACCTGTCGACCCAGCTACTTGGGAGGCTGAGGCAAGAGAACTGCTTGAGCCCAAGAGTTGGAGGTTGCTGTGAGCTATGACGCTATGGCACCCTACCAAGGGCCATACACTGAGACTCTGTCTCAAAAAAAAAAAGATTGTTTGGGGGCTTTTAGTTAGAGTGACATGGGCTAGACTTGGAGTGGAGGAATCGTAGTCTACTTTTGACCATGTTATACTTGAGATGCCTGTCAGATGTTGACAGTGCTCACAAAGGTGGTAGCTAAAGCAGCAGGTCTGGAGTTTGGGGGGAGTGCTCGAAAGTAAATTTGTAGACAGGCATTTGGGGATTGAGCAGGGAGAGAGGGAAGCCAGACCTAACTTAAGGACAAGCCCGGGGGCGTCAGGGCTGGCCTTCTGTCTGCCTGTGATTCTCCAAGCCATCAGCTTCTGTCCACCCCCAGGAAATGCCCAGAACACCCTGGCCCAGCCTACAGTGTGGCTGACCATAGTGCTCACCACGGTTGTCTGCATCATGCCCGTGGTTGCCTTTCGGTTTCTCAGGCTCCACCTGAAGCCAGATCTCTCTGACACGGTAAGAAGCCACCTGTCTGCTTGGGGTTGGGGGGAAAGGGCATGAAAAGGCTCTGGGTGAACATAGTGCGGCTGTCTCTGGGCTGTGTGTTGGTGGTAGTCATGTCCTCCTTGTGTGGCTGAGGAGGAGAAAGAGATGAATCAAGATTGTTTGTGGGGGCTCGGAGCATGTGCTCAGTGGTTAGGGGCACTGGTCACATACACCAGGGCTGGCAGGTTCAAACCCAGCCCGGGCCTGCTAAACAACAGTGACAACTACAACTAAAAAATAGCTGGGTGTTGTGGTGGGCACCTGTAGTCCTAGTTACTTGGGAGGCTGAGGCAAGAGAATTGTTTAAGCCTTAACAGTTTGAGGTTGCTGTGAGCTGTGATGCCACAGTACTCAACCAAGGGCAACATAGTGAGACTCTGGCTGGAAAAAAAAAAAAAAGATTGCTTGTGCTATTTGATGCCACCATGCTAATGGAGGGTCTGACCTGCCCCTCTCCAGGTCCGCTACAGCCAGCTGGTGAGGAAAAAGCAGAAAGCCCAGCACCGCTGCCTGCGGCGGGTAGGCCGCACAGGCTCCCGGCGTTCGGGGTACGCCTTCTCCCACCAGGAGGGCTTCGGGGAGCTCATCATGTCAGGGAAGAACATGCGTCTCAGCTCCCTGGCACTGTCTAGCTTCTCCGCCCGCCCTAGCTCCAGCTGGATCGAGAGCCTGCGCAGGAAAAAGAGTGATGGCGCCAGTAGCCCTAGCAGCGTGGCTGACAAGCCCCTCAAGGGGTGAAGGCTCAGACCAGTCGCCTGTGCTGCTGACCAGAGTATGCAGGGCTGCTGGTCACTGAGGGAACGGTTTTAGAACTGCTGGTCCTCACCTTTTGCCTCCTGTCTCCCTGGCAGGTACTGTCCTGCAGTTCCCACGAGGAGTGGCTCAGGGTCTTGCTACCAGCTGGAGAGGTGGAGAGAGCAGGCCCAGAGGCAGAGCAGGGGCTGGGCACTAGGAACCAGCTCCAGAAGGGGGATCAGATGTGGAACCAAAAATAAGAAGAAACTGAGATTGGGTCTGCCCTGTCCTGCCTGAGAGCCCACAGGGAGACAATGATCTCTGTATTTTTTTACTCCTAATCCCCAGAGGGGCCCTAGCCCCTCTGTTCCTGAATTACATGAGAATGTATCATGCCGGGAAGCCAGAGACCTGCTGGGGCCCCTGGGCCCCTCACGTTGTGTATGTCTCTCCTTGGTTTGTGTTGTGTCCAGTTTGATTTTGTCTCTCTTTTTTTTTTTTTTGAGACAGAGCCTCAAGCTACTATCCTGGGTAGAGTGCTGTGGCATCACAGCTCAAAGCAACTTCAAACTCCTGGGCTTAAGTGATTCTCTTGCCTCAGCCTCCCCAGTAGCTGGGACTATAGGCACCCGCCACAACGCCCAGCTATTTTTTGGTTGTAGTTGTCATTGTTGTTTGGCAGGCCTAGGCTGGATTTGAACCCACCAGGTCTGGTGTATGTGGCTGGCACCTTAGCCATTTGAGCTACAGGCGCCACCTTGATTTTGTCTCTTATTTGGCAAGCAGAGGAGGCCTTTTTGTGACTTTTATGTTGTGGTTTGTGTCTTAACTCCCCTGGAAAGAGGAGGCTGGCAACACAGGGACACCCTGGCCCGGCTGGATATAGAGTGGTTTGGGAGGAGCCACCTCCCTTGGGTGTCCTTTCCTGGGACACAGGGGCTGAACTTTGGCCAGAAGAGGGTGTCAAGGGAGTATGAAGGATGGTTTGGTCCTGTCTCCTTCCTCACCTTGAGAGTAAAATGCTACCATCTGCCCCCAATACACACTTACATCAATTCCTAGATTTCATAAGTCCCGCTGGTATTGGGCTGGACCCTAGGAAAGGGGCCTCGTCATTCTCAGTGAGCTAAAACTGGGTATGAAATTTGGTCCTGGAAACAAAAGTTTTTTCTCTTTTTAAATTTAGTTCATTAGCAGACTCTCCCCTTTGCCTAGCCCCTTCTGGTGCTTCCTTGCACCTATACCCCAAGACCCTAAGGTGGCTGCAATGGGGAGCTAGCTGCTCCCTCTTCCCCTCCAGGCCCAGCATCTGGGCTGGTGATGGTGAAAGAGGAGGAGGAGGAAGGTGAGGCTGGGCCAGAGACTGCCTAATCAGTGCCTGGCCTGTTCTGGACAAGACTCAGTGGGAGCCCCAGCACAGCCTGTCCCTTTTCTTCACCCTCTACACCTCTGAAGCTATTCCCTACATTAGGCATTTTCCAGTTAGTTGCTGCCTGATCAGCCTTGAGAAGAATCTTTTCCTCTTCTTTGGTAGTTGGGGTGAGGGGCACTTCAGGAGCAGTGTGGACCTGGGAATGGGGTATGGGGACTCTGTGTGCTCCATGTGGAAGCCCCAGAGAGCTGGAGGGGCACAGTGGGTGGGAGTGGGGCAGGTAGGGGAGGGGAAGTCTTGGCAGGGAAATCCCTTTGGCCACACAGTTTACAAACCTAGTATTGTCTGTCTGTGTGTCTCTCAAGGTGAGAGTCTGATTTTTATACCAAAGAGGAAATGATTTTTTTTCATATTTGGTTTGTCTATATTATATAAATATATATATACAGTTATATTATATATATATATATATATATATTATTTTTTGGTTCTCTCTCGTTTTATAGGGAGGGAGGAAAGTACCAAGTTGCATTGAGCTGTAATTAAGGAACATTCTGTATAATTTATGACACATTTCTATACTTGCAAAAATTATATCATTTTATGGATATCTAAGAGAAAAATGCCTTTTTATAAAATTTCAATTTCTGAGAAGTGTGTAATTTGTCTCCTTTCTGTTGTTTAACTCAGACTGGTAGTAAAAGTAAAGACAAGACAGAAATTGTCCCTTAAATGTAATTGCATGGGTGGCTCTGGGCCGAGGTAGGCAGGTACCTCGTCTGTTTGCAACCTCCCAGGATCTGAGTGACTTTCAGCTGGCACTGAAAGTGTCCTGAAAACTGTGGGTGGTCCTGAAAAGCAGATCATAGGACTTTGTGTTCAGCTGATGGTAAAGTGCTTAAAACCTGAAACCCTGGCTTGGTGCCTGTGGCTCAAGCGGCTAGGGCACCAGCCACATACACCTGAGGTGGCGGGTTCGAATCCCCAGCCCAGGCCTGCCAAACAACAATGATGGCTGCAACCAAAAAA